AGCTGTTAATTGACAACCAATCCACAATAGCACTTATAAGAAATCCAGTGTCTCATGGCAGAAGTAAGCACATAGACACAAGATTTCACTTCATTCGGATGTGTGTTGAAAGGGAACAGATTCAAGTGGAGCATGTGAGTGGAGATCAACAGAAGGCTGATGTTCTAACAAAGGCAATGCCAAGGATAAAGTATGCTGAGATGATAAAGTATGCTGAGATGAGGGCATTAATTGGCATAGAAGATCTGAAGAAGAAAGGTCAACCTTGAGGGGGAGAAATGTTGGTCAAAGGTTGACCTGGTAATTAGGAAGAATAAAGCACATGGGGCAGTGATGACCGTTACAATTAGACTGTTCCTAGTATTTCTCATTTTCTGTTCAGTTTAGTAGTTTAAATAGAATAGCTTAGTGTTTACAATTCATCAGTCGAAATTTCATTGTATAGCACCTTAATCATTAGGCTGCTAGTATTCTTCATTCAATAAAGAAAATCATTCGGCTGCCATTTCCAGTTTTACCCCTGTTACCCTTGTTCTTGTTTACTATTCTATTGCTTGATGGCCAACATTCAACAATCATATTTCATATGTCTACATTCATACATATACATATATACATATACATATGCTAAGTAGATTTTGCATGCTTATGGCAAACAATATGAAATTACGAATGTTAAGCACCAACAAATTAGTTTTAGCATTTGTCAAAATGGACAACGAATTATATGAAGACAAACCTGTGTCAAAATTAACGGGGAAGGTAGAATTGTTGATTTGAAGATGAACCATCAATTTCACACTTTAGGTAGAATTGTTAAAATTCTCTTTTTTCTTAAATTAACTATGAACTAATAGGTTTTATTTGATGATAGATACATGATTGTCTTATCTAAAAAACAGTGTCTATTTTCAAAAATCACTTGGTAGTTATAAAGGTATGTTGATCAACTTTGAAATTTTAGATTTATTTTTTACTTTTCTTGAAATTTCTATAATATATGTAGAATTGAGGTGATATTTTTTTGTTAATATAATTGGATACTGGTATCTAAGACTTACATTTTATTGGAGTAGCTAAAATTGGTGAGTTTTGTGATGAGATTGCAGTGCTTTAAATTTATAAGGAGTTTTTGAACCATATTGTTTTTTTTTTTCTTTTTTTTACATTTCTATTATTTATTTTTCATTATCTAAGTCACAAAAAAACCACTGGTGTTCCGGTAAACTGATTGTTTGAAGAAACTAGAGATGTGTCTTAATGACATTATGATAATAAAAATAAACTGCAATTTTCTCTTAGTAATTAGCTAACGGAGATCATTCGGAAAATATAATTTGTTTTTATACCTTTTTATTGCAGTGCTATGGTTCTCGCCATTGATGATGAAAATGTGCCCAAACGTTTTTATATGTGATTCAATCTGTTATTTTTTTTTGGTAATAATGTATTTAAATCTTTATTCAAGGATCTATAGTATGTAACCTTGATTTAATCATTTTCCAGTTCTGACCTTATCTGACCTTATCTTTATTCAAGGATCTATAGTTAGCAACTCATATGCATCAGTTTTGAATGAAATGTTATTCGACTTATTTAGTTGTCATGTTTTAAGACCGTTTCCCACTTTATGAAAGTTCATGTTTGAAATAAACATCTTAACCTATGATACATGTCAAACTTTTGTTTTTTGTTCGTAAGTTTCTATTATTACAACTTAACAATTGATATTTTATGATGGTTTGCCTATATGATCCTCATTGTGAAAGCGTATATAGAATAATAGAAAGTTTCTCTGTATGTCTTGCTACAAGCAACTATTTATTTTCTTAAAAGCAAAGGAGATTCAAGTCTAATTACCTTTTGTTGCTTACCTAGATCAATAAAAGAGTTAAGACGGTGAATAATACAATCAAGAAATTTAAAAAAGATGTTGATAGATGTAAAGAGAAGATTGATAGAAGAAGTCCGGGTGCGGCTCAAGAAGCTTTGAAAGTTCGGGAAAAGACATTTATCAAGGAGAAAAAATGGTATGGTACGTCATATAATATAACACCAATGTCTTTTTTGGATATTTAGAACTTGAATATTCCTCCGTAGCTTTTGATTTCATTCAAGCTACTTTTCTTAATATAATTTATACGGGTTAGACGTTAATCGACAATCTTTTATAATTCTTGTAAGGTACGAAGGACAACGTCACATGCTACAAAATAAGCTCTCAAGCTAGATCGAGTCATATTTGCTAGAGAGGGTATTAAGGATGCTCAACAAAAACAAACAGTATGTTTCACAATCATAAATTTAGTATTATTATTATTATTATTATTATTATTATTATTATTATACTTGAATTTCTTTTTTCTGTCATCTGCTTGTGTGAACCATGCCTTAAAAGATATACTACATTTTTGGGTTTTGAGTCAAATATCCTTGTTTCAGTCAACTAAACTCAAAGTTTTATTCGTGAATTGATTTTGTATTGTCTAGTGTCAGATCTACAAGAGTTGATGGAATAATGAACAATTTGCAAGATGACATAAAGGGGATTGCTTGATGGTAGCAATGAAATACTAAAGTCTCTTGGTGCAAGCCACAATGTGCCTGTTGACAACAACAAAAGTAAGTCTAAAATTTAGTTGTTTAAAAAAAGTGATGAAAAAGGTGTAAAAACGTCTTTAAAAACTTGTAAAAACTGAATTTCAAAGAATAAAAATTAATTTTGGGAAGAATTTGTAAACTGAGGATTTGCCTCTAATTAATGCATTGGTGGTTCGTAGTGCTAGTCTTATTTCTGCATGAGCTGTGGTTCTGTCTATTCGTCTGTGAGGTGAGTTTTCTCACTATACTTTGTATTGTAGTATGTATCATCAGTGTGTTAGGATGTTGATATGATGTAGTGATTTGTTATATTGGTAGATCTGTTATGATTACCTGTATTTTCTTGTTATGGTATTTGTAGATATCGACATGTTTTGGGTGGGTTTAGGCGGTCATGCTTTGTGCTGTAGGCCAAGATACCCGAGGGATCCATTTGTTACTGTAGGCCCAAAAAGAGCGGTCCAGCTACATGTTGTAGGCTCAGGAGAGCGGTCCGGTTGATACTGGCTCAGGAAAGTGCGGTCCAGCCATATAGGATGTAGTCTCAGGAGACGGTCCAACCATTTATTGTAGGCCTGGTGTGCACGCATTGTATATGTATTGTTGTGTGGGGTATTTTTGGAAACTCGCTAGGCCTTGACTTGCAGTTGTGGATGTAAATATTTTAGGTACTTCTGAGGATGGGGTCAAGGCGAATGTGTGACAATACACAACATCCAGTGGTTGTTATGTTTTGAGAGTTGCTATGATTTTGATACTCTGGTTTTATGATATGATTGTGGAACAACATTTTTGGTGACTTATGTTTTATGGAAAAATGGTTTCTTCTCTTTAAAAAAAATGGAAAAATTTTACTATGGTTTTAGGGATGTTACATAGTTATTTTTATGCCACTTTTTGGTGTCATTAGGTATGATACCATTAGAGAGATTTTGGTTTGTGTCTTCTCAACCAAGAAACTTCAAGGAGGAAGAGATCTCAAGCATAGAGATCAAGGGCTACATAAGAGGTATATTATTCTTCCTTATGTTTTATGTTTTCATAGGGTAGCAGTAATAATTTAGATCCTAGGATGCAAGTACACTAAGATTAATCTTTGATTGTTTCCGTTATCTAGATAGATTGTATTGATACATAGAAAACCCACCAGTGATAGTTCTTAATCTTGATGTGGCATTGTTAGGCCAAATAATGACAGGTATGTTTGCAAGTTGGTCAAAAGATGTCAAAACCCAATATAGCTACTTTTTGACAAAGATATATAACAACATGAATCATTGCAAAACATGCTTGATCAAAATAATTAATTTTTTTAATTAGCTCATAAATTATTGCAAAACATATGTGATTAAAAGAAATTTCCATGTATGCGATACAATGTCAAATTTGTATGTCAACATTCATGATGTATATGATATATATATAACTCATTTATATGGTCATATATTTAATCTATTTCAATCATTAAAGTTATATTACTACATTGAATATAGGTCGCAACAATAAAACAATCATATGCCACATAAAGGATATAACATTAATTTGTTTATGCATAAATACAAATATAAATAAGATTCAAGTTGCATAAATCAAAAAGTTCATATTAATCATTAAATTTTGTTTTTCCACTCGATATTTGTATTTTGACATTATTTGTTTACAATTTTATCAATTTTCATATGTGGGGTACGAACTTTTGTTCATTTTTACCTACACAAACACAGTGATGGTGGAGGCAAACAAGTGTCCCTAATATTCCGCAATCATAATGAATGCAATCGAAGAAACTATTACATTCTGGAAGTGCATCTTCTGAATAGGAAGTCACGTCATTCAAACCTGTAGCACAAATTAAAAAAAGATAAATGTTAAGTCTTTCTCTTTCCCTCACACACACACACACACACACACATATATATATATATATATATATATATATATATATATATATAAACACTTCAAATTGTTTGTATACTAATTCATGTAGAACTGTTGTTTCATAACATGCATAAACATCTTTGAATTTTAAATTTATGAAAAGGGAAAGGAAGTGAAGTTAAAAAGAAAATTAATTAGTATTTTGCAGTTTTTAAGGGAAAAAAAGAAAGAGAATCTTTTGTTTTCTACATATGATTTTGAGGGGAGAAAACATATGTTTAGAATTCTCTTTTTTTTTTCTTTTCATTCCTTTAAAAGCTAAGTGCATGTTTTCCCCGTTTAATCACTCTTACTTCTCTCTTTTTTCTATTTAAAAAAAGGAAAGAAAAAAAAACTCAAGAGCAAGGTGAAAATGAACTCCGTACACATAGAAAGAGATGTTCACCTAAAACAAAAAGTAAAAGTATCACAATGAATGTTCGTTTCATTCTCGAATTATGATGAAATGGATAGAAAAATCAATGTGTGGTGAGTGTATAATTGTTTGTCTATGTATTGTTAGTTTTTCATTTTCTTGACATTATATAGACAATGTTAACTCATAGGATCCTATAACATAAGAATAGTTTCGTATCTATAGATTTTAATGCAAAAAATAAATGTTGTTGACTTTTTAAATTAGGTTATCATTAATTTTCATAATTGCAAAGATATTCGAATTTACAACCTCATCTTTTATAGATTTATGATTTAATTAATATCATTAAAACAATTAGAATTAATTAATTCTTTTCTCACTAGTTGCCATACAAGAAAAAATGATTTAAGCTTTTACGAATATTATAAATGATTAGAAATTTAACTAAAATTTTAAACTAATTTTCAAAAACCATGTCATTACAAAATCAGTTTATCTCTATTACTTTCATAACTCTTATGTATAAGTGTTGTAATTAATAATTCTTTTGAATATTTATAACGAAAAAGATAAAATAGAATACAAGAATCCTATGAAATTTAAAAAAATAACAAATTTAATATCTTTACTTATTAATCATAAGACTTGTCAACATTAATGATAAATAAATATATCAAATAGGTAAAATAGGGTATTTAATGTTTATTACATTAATGATAATTAAATATAGCAAATAAGTAAAAGAGAAATCAAATATCCTCCTACCTAAGTAAAATATTGTATTTAATGTTTAGTTCATTTCTAAAATATCAAAAATATATTTGTCATTATGTGTTTTATGTAATCTAATCTTTTATTAAATGTTAACTATCAGTAAATAGAAATTTAACATAGATATATATATATATATATATATATATATATATATATATATATATATATATATTAGGGTGAGCAAAAACCGAACCGCAAACCGGAAAAACCACATAAACCGAAACCGAAATGAAAATCGATGGTGCGGTTTTTAGTTATGCAAAAACCGAAAATGCTCGCTGCGGTTTCTAGTCTTGCAAAAACCGCAAAAAACTGAATCGCACCGCACATATATATATATATATATATATATATATATATATATATATATATATATATATATATATATATATAGGTTCAAATGTTTCTCACATCTATTGTGTGCTAGAATGCACCAATAAGAATTTAATAAAAATTAAATTATTATTTAATCAAATAAAGATAGATACTAAATGATTTCTATAATTATATGTATATTAAATGATATCCATAATTATAATTCTTTTTTTATGGAAACTAATTAAATTCGCCATTAATATCAGCAATAATATTCTTTCAGAATGAATTGGGATCTAGTTTTACATGTATGGGTTCGTATTTTTTTCATGACCCGCTCATTCAAAATACAACATAGTTGCCTAGAACATGGATAACAAGAGTGTATTCTAGTAGAAATAAGAATTTATTCTAGAAGAATGAGTGTGTATTCTAACAAAGATGAGAGTGTATTCTAGTAGAATACACTCTCGTTCTTCATATTCTATGTAACTTTGTTGTATTTTAAGTGAGTGGGTCCATAAACAAAACACGGACCCTTACATGAAAATCTATATGCGAATTCATTCTGAAAGAATGTTATTGCTGATATTAATAAATAATTTAATTAGTTTCCATAAAAAAGAGAATTATAATTATGGATATCATTTAATATACATACAATTATGGAAATCAATTTAATATCTATTTTTATTTAATTAAATAATTATTTAATCTTACTAAAATCATTTTAGTGCATTCTAGCACACAATAAATGTTAGAAACACATGAACCTAGCCCTATATATATATATATATATATATATATATATATATACACACACACACACACACACACACACAGAGAGAGAGAGAGAAAGAGGTAGGTTCAAATGTGGATGAACAAATATTGTGTGGATGTAGGGATTAATATGGGCCAAGTATTATTTAATTTTAATAAATAATTAATTAAATCATCTAATAAATAATTAATTAAATCATCTACCCTTTAATTTAGGCAAATTACTTCATTTAAAACCCTATTGCCTCTTCAATCGACACCCACAAAATCGTATCCCTCCCGCTTCCATCGACCTTCGGCCCCATCAGACGACCTTGAGTCATCATCGCTTTCAACCATTAGATTTAGGGTATACAATCACCGCCATTATCATCTTTATCAGCGTGTTGGTAACACCAAGGAAGAATCGGTGAGCCACAGTGGTTGCTAGGTTTGCTTTCCGGCGAGTTGTACCAACCATCAGATCAGAGGTTTCTCCACGCAGTCCATCTTCATCATCGCTTCACCTTCACGCCGTCGCCGGTCACCGTAAGACCTTGAGTCCGTCGTCGATCCTCACTACAGTGTCCGTCGTCGACTCTTTAATCGTCGACCCTTTCTACCCCTTCATCTATTCATCAGCAACACACGGATTCCGTGTAGAGTTGGGAAAACCTAAATTTTGCTTCATCTCCTTCCGTGTTGGAATCAAGAACCCCGCCCCTTTCCTTGTACTCACTTTCTCCTTTAAAGAAGCCTTACAAAGTTGGATTATACCAATCATTCTCTCTGTTCTTTTCTTGATTTTGACAGGTAAACCCATCAATTTTAATTTCTTGTCGTTGCGTTCTTCATTGGGTTTAAAGAAGCAACTCTCTCACGTTTCATGTATTTTTTTTTCTGCGATAACCCTGTTTTCTTCTTTAATCGCGTTTTAAGCGTTCAATTCACTTGTTGTGGGTTTTGTTGTAATGTTTTTCAATTGTTTGAAATCTGCAGAAAGCAATCAGAGTGCAGATATGGATAAATGCTCGTTCAAGCTTGAACACCCATTGGGTATTGTGCCTTTAATCACAATTTCCTTTTCTTTTGCGGTTTTCCAGTTTCATTCTTGATCATAAGATAAGAATATTTGTTTAATTGGGTGCTTCGATGTCTGTTTTCTAAACGATTATTGCATCAAGATGTGCAATTAGATAATAAGATCAATTGCTAAACCTGAATTTCTCCTTTTTGTTTATGTAGAGAAGAGGAAATCGGAATCCTCTCGCATCAGAGAGAAGTATCCTGATAGAGTTCCTGACAAGGAAGTATCCTCTCGCATTAGTAAGACATTTTGTTTCTTTATCAATCAAACTTTATGCTATTTTATTTATCTCTTAACTCTTGAGTAAAATTTTGGTTTCAGGTGATTGTTGAGAAAGCTGAAAAATCCGACATTCCTGACATAGACAAAAAGAAGTATGTGAATGTTAACCTTTCCCATTTGTTGTATCTATCTTAGTTTATATAGGAATATATGAAAGAAATAACAAACTACTTTCATCGATTTGATTAGATCACTACATTTTTTTACATTTTCTTTTTATGGTGTCATTTATATAAAAAGATATGAATGTGATGGGACCCACAAAATGGTAATGAGTTAATGTTTTTATTTCAGATATCTAGTTCCAGCTGATTTGACCATGGGTCAATTTCTGTATGTTGTTCCAGCTGATTTGACCAATGGTGGATGGAATATAACAACATGAAACAAGAATGAAAATGAAGATTCTTTCATGAATGACATTGTATTCTTATAGATGAAGATTTTTTCAAGAATGACTCACCATGAAGCTTGTATTCTAATAGAATGTGGCAAAAATTCAAAAAATAACATTGTATTTTTATAGAATGTGACAGTAAAAATTATTTTTTTGTTTATTTTTGGACCTTAGATTCTTTAATAATATTATTATTCTTCAATAATGTCAATAATAGATTATTATTTTTTAAGAATGTTGTTATTCTTCAACTCATGGTTTAAAAATTTGTTATTCTTAAAAATGTTCATTCAATCAGAATATGTATTCTGTCAGACTTTGTATTCAATCAGAATATGTATTCTATTAGATATGTATTTTAAACTCTTGGTCCATATTCATTCCTACATCCACACAATACTTATCATCCACATTATAACCTAGCCCTATATATATATATATATATATATATATATATATATATATATATATATATATATATGTATATATATATACCATCTTATAAAGAGTTTATAAATGTGGGTCCCTTGCATTTTAAGACAATGTCTTAAAATTCAAGGAGAAGGAATCTGGACCATCGAATCTACATTGAAAGGTGAGGATTTAACTGCTCGGGATCCATGTGAAATGCTCTCAACCAATAAGAATAGAGCGTTTAAATGCATGTCTTGGAAATAAGCTGACTACTACAAGGGAGAAAGCAGACATCATGAGGATTGCCAGGGTGGCCTTTTTTAAATGTGTCCAGACCGTTGATCTACTACACTGATCCAACTAGGGGTGAGCATTTGGACCGAACCGTACCGGACCGGACCGGCGCTTGGACCGGACCGGTTATGGAGAATATTGTGGACCATGGACCGGACCGGATGAGTCGTGTCCATGTCCATGTCCGGGTCCGGGTCCAGGTCCGGGTTTTCCGGTTCTTGGACCCGTTTGGACCGGTACAACTTTAATTTCATAGAGTATAAGTTGTTAAAATAAGTTTTTAGGTTTGATACGATACAACTTGTAAAAATGATTATGTTTCCGTTTCATGCATAACTAATCTACCTTGATGTTATAATATTATAAGTTGCAAAATTAATTTTCCAAATAAAATCAACTAACATATAATCAAGTTCACCAAGATCCCTTTCATATGATTTATCTATCAAATATACATAAAATTCAGAATTATAGTATAAAATGATAGTTAAAAAGTTGAAATATTTCAGCTTTGATAGCTCAACTTTGAAAGATTGTAACTCACTAAATATAATATCAAAATCAACAAAATTATAGTCTAAATTTATCTACAAACTGTAAACTAAATGTTGGAAAAAACCTCAGATCAATCCGACTTAAAACGAATGAGTTATGGTTGTTTAAAAATTTTCACAAATTACAAAATTTTTAAAAACTTGCTGAAAAGCTGAAAATTTTCAGCTTTGATAGCTCAACTTTGGAAGACTATAACTCATTGAATATAATACCGAAATCAACAAAATTATAGTCTAAATTCATCTACAAACTGTAAACTAAACGTTGGAAAAAACCGTGTGTCAATCCGACTTAAATTGAATGATTTATGGTTGTTTAAAAGTTTTCACAGATTACAAAATTTTAAAAATGTTGCTGAAAAGCTGAAAATTTTCTGCTTTGATAGCTCAACTTTGAAAGTCTGTAACTCATTGAATACTATACCAAAATCAACAAAACTATAGTCTAAATTCATCTACAAACTGTAAGTTAAACGTTGGAAAAAACCGCGTGTCAATCCGATTTAAAACGAATGAGTTATGGTTGTTTAAAATTTTCACAGATTACAATTTTTTTTTTAAATCGGGTCCAACCGGTTCTAAACATGGTAAAAACCGGACCGGACCGGGAAAAAAACCGGACCGGACCGGGATGGATTCCTAGAACCGAGAACCGGCCCGGGGGTCTTAAAAAACGGTCCGATCCGGTCCGGTCCGGTCCACCGGTCCAAATGCTCACCCCTAGATCCAACTGCCGTTGATTCCGATTGACTACATCAAGAACACACTCTTTTACCTGAACTATCTCCGATTCAAAATTTGAAAACCCGACTCCCTTTTCCAGTTCTCTCTGAACAAGCCCAATCACCGCCTCCACCATTTAACCTACCGCCACTGCCACCGCCTCCACCATTTAACCTACCGCCACCGCCACAATCAAAGACGAAGACTTGGAGCTGAACCCGTAAGCATATTTCCTTTTGATTTCTCAGGTAAGGTTTTTAGTTGTTTTAAGAAGATGGGTTGCTCATGTCTTCGATCTACATATATATTTTTAAGTTGTGATGAGAAATCCCTATCGATCAAACTTCATTGGCTCTCACCATCTCTGATTAAACCCCAAGTCTCCCAAAACCTCACCCCATGCCTTGCATATGCTCTTTCTCTCTCTGGAACTTTAGGCGGCACCATCATCCCACCGCCTTCCCCCTCCACCTTCTCTCTAACCCTAAATCGCCACTAAATCTCTGTACACACAAACATGCACACTCTAAAGAAAACCCTAGGTGTATGTCATTTGCCAATGCTGATATTAGACATCGACGCTACAATCGAAGGAGTCAAGGAGGTGTTTCATGTGAATCCATATCTATTCTTAGGTTTGTCTACGGATCTTTATAATGAAGTAGATTTATGATTTATTTAACCTTAAATCGATTTGTTTTGTTATCTTTTTCTTATATGAAGGTTTCTTTGAAAAGGGACATTTTTGTTGTTATATTTCTCTTGGATTTTCTTTGACCGTACCACTCTTGGTATTGGTAATAGGAAGACATGCTACAATCTCCCGTTTCATTACCTTGACTTGATGACAAAAACTCATATTCTTCTTTTAATAACATATTCAATCTGTTTTTTAATCATATTGAACATGTATCTACACGAAAGCCGAGTATCTGGTCAAATCTGAGAGTTTTATAAAGGTGTAAGTTTTACCAGTTTCATTTTATACTTGGATTTTCTTCTTTTTTATAATTTGAATGAATCCTTCTTTGTGTTTGTTAAATTGGTGGTAGTTTTTACCTGGTATAATAATAATTTTAATACCAGAGTCAAAACCCTCCTATTTTTTCAAAGCTTAATATGAGTTTTATATTTATTTTTTTATCTGGTATAATAAATTTGTTTGTATGTTGTCAATAAGTAGTTTACTGGTGTTTCAAGGGAAAGAAAGACATAATCTCTCAAGTGAAGGGGAGAATTGCATCTGGATCTGGGTGTTGCTGTTAAGCTTATGCCAAATTTATTGATCAAATCATTAAGTTCAGAAAAGAGGGTGAGTTGATTTACCTAATTTAACTATACCTTTGTTTATTTTAGTGTGTTAAAATTGGTTTCTATACCTTGATATTTGGTTTTGAGTTTAAGATTCATGTTCTGTAACGTCGATTTTGATTTCTAGATTTAAATTCTTGACATATATACTGTCCAAGTTTGATTTATCTTATAGTTTGTGATTTGATCACTCTATGTGTTTTGTTAACTTCATAGCTTATTGTTAGATGAGATTTTTAGTAAAATTTTCATATTATCTCTTCTTTTTGTGTTTGTGGACAGGCTGGAGTTGTGACATGAATAAGTGGTCTATGGTCTTAATTCTATTTGGTTCAGTTGGCTTCATTTTTAAAATTTTCAAGATTGAATAAACCTCTAAGGTTTGTTTTTTCCCTGTTTTCGTAATTTTATTTGCTTTTAGGAGAAAGGTTATGATGTTAACACAATGAACTATTGATTCTAAAAAAACAGTTAAACAACTTTGATCCGTTCTTGAAACATACTGTCCCTTATGGGAGTTGATTGCATCGAAAGGAGTTAAATTTGTTGGTAATTAGTTTTTCCATAATAACACCTTATTGCAATTTGCACATGCAGAAATTATGTTACTGTTGATCTAATTATGAATGTAAAAAGATAATTTTTTTTCATTTTCATTATGAAATTAAACATTGCACTTAGAAAGATGTTTTTCTTTATTTTACTTGATTGATATAACTATAACAAATATTAGATGATTAATATATAAATCTTTTTTATTTGAAAAGGTCTGCTTCTCTGCTTCTCTCCAGGTATGCTTTTACATAAGCTTTCATCACGCATTCTCTCTTTCTCTCAAATGACATGTTTTTGTTTTCTGGTTTCAAGTTAATTACATTTTTAATCATATCACAGGCTTCCGCTTTCAGCGGGTTATGCAAATGAGTAGGAAGACAAATCAACCACAATTTATACGGTGAACAATCTCGAAGGGAAAAACAAAGAGAAGCAAAAGTAAAATACTCCAAAAGCATCGTAGCAGCATGAACCAAAGTGTATTTTAGTAAAAAATTGAAGTATTAATAAAAATCAATAATTGGTTATTTGAGAGTTTGTAGTTCTTTTGATTTATTAATTTTGGAAATCTTACATTTTATTTTCCTAACTTTACATGTCGTGGTTTGACTTTATCTATGTAAATGATTTACCTAACGTTGTTTTTTTCTTCGAATGCAATGTTTGTTAGTGGCAGTTTAATTTATACATTTCACAATGAAATGTTTTATTGTCCGTCCAAGATTAATTAACAAAAAAGACTATACAACATTTTCTAAACATACAATTTTTTTGTCAATTAAATAAGTAAATTACATGAAAGTTCCCTATGGATTGAAATATTATTTATACTCGCTCAATATATTTTTCAACTCGGAAAATTCCAATGGTTTGGTTTTATTTTGGTTTAGTCATGCCGAACCAAAAATGTCTTTATTGCCCTTTTATATTTTATTTTTAATTTTCATATTAATTATTTGTTTAGTATAATTTTAAAACTTAAATTTGGCCCATACCTTAATTTACCCCCTATATTATACGACATGGTTCTCACTTTAACACCATCTCATGTCACTGCCGCGCACCGTATTGTGAGGCTATGAACCTAGCCATAAACTATATACGAAAGGGAACTATCTAGCGCAAAACAGTCTACCAAAAGGCCGAAAGAAACTATATTCCGAGAGGAACTAGCTAGCGACGCCGCATCGCGCGGGTACCTCACTAGTGTGTGTGTGTATATATATATATATATATATATATATATATATATATATATATATATATATATATATATATATATATATATATATATATATATATATATATTAAGTGTTGATATTTGTAAGAACCAAAAATTCATTACAATTAAAATTTCTATAAATACAAATATCTATCTTATATATCAGAGGATGATTGTAAATTTTTAAGGATACATTCAAAATAATGTTTAAGACATTGTTTAACATTTAAATATGAAGAGTATTAGTGATGATATTATCATTTTTATGAATACATTAATTTATATTATCGCATGTATCTGTGAAACAAATATTATATTTTATTCGTATTATATTGAGGCATTAGAGACATTTTGGATGAGTAGTTATGTAATTTGATTACAATACAAGAGGTAGTGGTATTGGTTCATCTCCAAAAAATGATTAGCACTCCTCATCCGAGTCAAAGTAACTCGCCGACTTACATGAGTTTTAGCAAAAAGGCAAAACAAAAACTAAAATAAAAAAAATAAAAAATCTGACAAAAAACCGCAAAAAAACCGAACCGCAAAAAAAACCGTAAAAAAACCGCAAAAACCGAACGACATAAAAACCGAACGGTGCGGTTTCTAAACTTCAAAAAACCGAAATTGGTTTTCGGTTCGGTTTTGGCCGAAAACCACACCGAACAGCACCACGCTCACCCTTAATATAACATAAATAATTTATAAGAGAAAATAATTATTTATTTAAAAAGTTGATTCTTCCATATAAAATATATTTTTCAAGTTATACTAACTTGTATGTAGATGAATCAATACTACCAAGTAAAATAACCACCTATCATTCCAAACTACCACCATTCTATGTGATAACAATATTTGCCATACTTTTACGAGGTTGATGTCATTATTTAGTCCAACTCCTTGTAATATTTATACTTAATAACTAATAAATATTTAGAATTACTAAAGGGCTTCTTATTTGTAAATCATGTAATATTTGTTATTTTATAGTTTACATCATTTACTATTTTTTTTTTGGTAAGGAATGCAAAACCTGCCTCATGTATATATATTTTTTTACTATTTATGTTTATGTGTATTAGTGTATCCAATAGGTCCAGGCTAATGTCATCGTTTAACAACTATTAGTAATTTTGCAGATTAAGTTGTTTATTATTTAATTGTTGAAGTTAGTCATTAAACTTTATTTAATTTTGTTTTAGTTTAATCATTTCATTAAGTTTTACTCTACTGAACCTTTTAACAATTACTAAAGAGCATCTTACAATTGGGAAAAATATTTAGATTATATTCACATGGTTTTGACGAAGAGACAACAAGGGCCGATGGTAGTTGTGCAACCGATCATTCCATGTTCAATAATAATATAAGTTCAATAAAGTATATGTTTTAATAATAATATAAATTCTAATAAAACAAAATATGAATATTAATTATTTGTATATTCAAGTAATTGTAAGTTTAAAACTAAGATTAAATAAAATATAAACATATGTAGATGCCTCACTTGCGCCATGTGGATGTAATAGCAACATTTTTGTCAAGATCAATTTTTGTCAAAATCAATCGATCGTTGAAAGTTATAATATTTATTTGTGTAGAATTGTTTAGTAAAAATAGTTGTAAATTTTTGAAATGTGTAAAATGTAAACATGAAAACTAAAAACTCTCAAATGTTATTTGAAGTAGCTTCCGGATTAACAACATTTTATTTAAAATAAAAAATTTAAGCGCTAACTTTCAAACAAAACTTTTTCTTTGATTCAAATTTTTTCCTTAAAGCTAAAAACACTAAAAAAAACAAATTATTGAACATACTCAGCAATTTTTTTTCTTGAAATTGTTGTTTAAACAATATTAGTAGAAAAAATAGTTTCTTGATAAACCCTAACATTTTAACTAAAATTAAACAAAGAAGATTTAATGTCCTACACCGCTACACCTAAACCCTTAATTTTACATTCTCCCTCATCAACAAATTTCTTCAGCAAATATGACGTCATATATGGATTGCACTGCACAAAAACACAAATCAAACTAAATACCAAATTCACAAAAATTGATAAACACGCACTTCAGAAACAAAGATAAAAGAGTAATAACAAACAATCATTCTTTCAAAATTCAAAAACTTTATTTTTTACCTTCTTCTTTCAGGATATTCGGTTGATCTACCAAAAGTCGCTCGAGACTTTGTAAATCGCCAACACTACAATGAACATTAAAAAAAATTATAAATATAAATTTTTCTACAAATAATTTTTTCAAAACATAATGATCATGTACTTTTGGTGGGACCGGGACCCTTTGTGCAAAAGACATAAATGCCCTTGTCCTATGTAAAAAACGTATACCTTGGTTTCAAGGCAAGGCTAGCAAGCGCTGATGTCACGGATGATTTAAGCACGTACCTACACCATTTGATTAAAAAAACTACCTCTGTATATTATTTCCAATTATAAAATAAAATGGTAGGCTTAAAAATATCTGATAATATTAAATTTATTAATAATGTATGTATAGATTCATACTCTGATTGATACATCTCATGAAGAATCCGAAGGCCTTCTAAGCAATCTGCAATACTTGGTTTTACACCAATTCTGTGATGTAATTGTTTCATTGAAAGCTGAACAGAACCACCTTTCACTTGCTGTTTAGCATCACGAACAGTTTTTGCAAGAGACAAAACAACACCATTTAATTCCTCCCTAAAAACATCAAGATATCATAATTATTAAGCTACATATAAATTAACTAGGATTATGGATTATTATAGACTTACAGAGTTTTAGTCATTGAAAGCAATATCTTCTGAAGGGATTCCATCTGTTTTGTGAAGATGGTATTTTTAATGTTATCAAGGTTTTTTAGGGAACCATAGTTTTTGGGACTTTCAAGCAACTGATAAGAGGGTAAAAAAGGAAATATAATCGATAAGAATTAATCAAGAGATTGAATCTATGTATGTGGAAATTGGAATGTGAATAACCTGTAACCTTCCAATGATGGAAGAAGCATTTCTAAACTGTGACACTAATTGAACATGGAGGTTGTCCCATCGATCCATGTCATCTTTCACCCTCTTGAATTTCTGCTGAAACTTTTTCACTGTTGCCTCCATTATCAACCAACTTTGAAAGGCAATTTCTTATCTACATTCCAGCAAGATATACACCATTAGAGTCTGTTGATACTCATGTTATAAGTTTACCTATTTATTTTGGGTTTACAGTGTCATGAACCTCAAAAATCTAGCAAACATGTCAAAATCAACATCTGGAAGAATGAGGGGTTCATAGCTCTGTCAGGCATATACACAAACACATGGTATGGTGTCCACTCGGATTATTAAGAATGAAAAGTTAAAGCCTTATGAACACAAAGCACATCAATTTGGAGCATCAAAACCTAAAAAGAACATATTCGTCATAAATCAGTATAGTCAGTAGCAATTAAATTGAATAAAAACATGCCCAGATTAAGCAATGAAACCAACGATCGAAATTCAAACAGTGTGCCTGCGTAGGTATATAAAGAACACGAAAATTGGGATATGATGCATGTAAGGGATCAAGAACTGAGACATCATGCCTCAATCAGAAGTGTTAAAATTAAAAACCAAACTTCTAAATTATACCATTTTTTTTAACAGTACAACCCACTTACCTAAATGTTGTAGCAGCCGCAGGTTAGGGCTCTGTCGAAGGGAAATGCTCTTTAGAAGGGTCAAAACGGCGTCGATTAGAGTGTTGTATCATGGCAGAAATCAATCGAGGAGACAAGTGAATGCTTGTATCTGGGTTTTGGGGTTAAAACTTAAAAGGGAAAACGATTATAATTAATTATTATCGAGATATTATTAATATCTCGATAATAATTAATTATAATCGTTTTCCCTTTTAAGTTTTAACCCCAAAACCCAGATACAAGCATTCACTTGTCTCCTCGATTGATTTCTGCCATGATACAACACTCTAATCGACGCCGTTTTGACCCTTCTAAAGAACATTTCCCTTCGACAGAGCCCTAACCTGCGGCTGCTACAACATTTAGGTAAGTGGGTTGTACTGTTAAAAAAAATGGTATAATTTAGAAGTTTGGTTTTTAATTTTAACACTTCTGATTGAGGCATGATGTCTCAGTTCTTGATCCCTTACATGCATCATATCCCAATTTTCGTGTTCTTTAAATACCTACACAGGCACACTGTTCGAATTTCGATCGTTGGTTTCATTGCTTAATCTGGGCATGTTTTTATTCAATTTAATTGCTACTGACTATACTGATTTATGACGAATATGTTCTTTTTAGGTTTTGATGCTCCAAATTGATGTGTTTTGTGTTCATAAGGCTTTAACTTTTCATTCTTAATAATCCGAGCGGACACCATACCATGTGTTTGTGTATATGCCTGACAGAGCTATGAACCCCTCATTCTTCCAGATGTTGATTTTGACATGTTTGCTAGATTTTTGAGGTTCATGACACAGTAAACTGTAAACCCAAAATAAATAGGTAAACTTATAACATGAGTATCAACATTCAACAGACTCTAATGGTGTATATCTTGCTGGAATGTAGATAAGAATTTGCCTTTCAAAGTTGGTTGATAATGGAGGCAACAGTGAAAAAGTTTCAGCAGAAATTCAAGAGGGTGAAAGATGACATGGATCGATGGGACAACCTCCATGTTCAAATAGTGTATATGACTTATTCTTGAAAGTACAGTGAATATAATATATGTACACAAAAAATAACCTAAATAAAATTAATGAATACATTATCATTTATAACGTTATCATAAAACTTTACTCCATAACTTTTGGTAATTTATTCTCTTACTAATATGATAAGTTCCTCTCATACTAATTGTCCCCAAATAACTTTATTAAAAAAATAAGAACTAAAGCAGTAAAGCTATCTATTTATTTAGGCTTATTATTCTTTAGTTGTTATCATTTGGTAATCATTTATCAATGATTAAACATTCTTACTAGAGGTTGCAAACATCGAGCATTCTACAAACTTTAATCAAGCATTCTTACTTGTAGTTAATTAATTGTAGTTAATTAATTGATAGCAGCAAGCAGCAATATAAATGATTAAACATTCTTACTAGAGGTTGCAAACATCAAGCATTCTACAAAATTTGATCAAGCATTCTTACTTGTAGTTAATTAACTGATAGCAGCAAGCAGCAATATAAATGAGTTCTATATAAATCGAGTTCTGATAGCAGCATTCTACAAACTTTTTGACAAGGAAACTCATTGATAAGATACACTGTATGAAATTAAGAAACCCGGAAGAGCTTAATTGCAAGCAACAGAAATCGGTGAGAGTGAGAAACAAAAATCGGTGAGAGTGAGAAGCAGAAATCGGTGAGAGTGAGAACTGAGAAGCAGAAATCGGTGAGAGTGAGAACTGAGAAGCAGAAATTGATAGCAGCTGAAACTGATAGCAGCAACAAGTGGTATATTACCGTCAAATGCGGAAGGCTTCGGCGGCGGTGACGGAAGAAAGCTGAAGTCGCAGGTTTGCCCGTGGGAGTTGGAGATTGGAGAAGTCGCAGCAGCAGTCGCCGCTCGCCAGTCGAAGACTCGGAGTACAGGTCGTCGGATCCTACCGCCTACGGGAACGGGAAGGAAGCTAAAGTCCTCGACTCCTCGAAGCTAGAAAGTCGCCATTCCTGTTTCCCCATTCGTATAATCGTATTCTGAAGTGAAGACTGAAGACGGACGGAAGTATTGACGCCTTGAGGGAAGAAAGCGTGATTACGAGAAGCCCTAATTTTCCATTTGTAATTTCCATAAAATATATATTTTTTATAAAAATATAAACGGGCCCCGCGGGAGTACGGGACGGAAATACTCACTCCAGCCCCCGGTCCCGAAAATAAACGGGAGTTAATATCGCCCCCGCCCCCGCTCCCGCTCCCGAATTTTTTTAAAAATTAGTCCCGTACGGTATCGGGGTCCCACGGGAACGGGGTCCCGCGGGCTTTTTTGACATCCCTAGATATTATTATATATATATATATATATATTAAAGTTACCAAAGATTTTAACAGATTAGAGTGTTGTATCATGGCACATTTTTTTGTCAATTTTGGTTCTCCAACTTACAACATTGACCTTTCACCTTTATGCTTTTGTTCACAAACAACACTTTCACTTTGGTTTGAATTTTTCATAACCCTCACCTTTTATTACATATTATTAATATTTAGTCTTTTTGACAGAAATGGTCCCTCATCATTATTATTATTATTATTGTTAGACAAAATTACACGATTGGTCCCTGTGATTTACCAGATTTAACATTCTCTTTTTGGTTTTAAATTAATGTTTTATTTATATTAGAAAATATTCACCCAATATCATAAACCCACCCACCATCTGCCATCACCACCACCACCGCCGCCAAAATTACATAAAAAAGACCAAATTACCCTAACATTAACGGACAAAAAGCAACGATATATATTTTCCGAATTGGTTTTCTGACCGCTGCCATACATGGCAATAAAGTTCAATTTGTGAGACCATTTCTTTATTTTCCTCATTTATTGCAAGAAATAATGATTTAGATTTCTTTACTTATGTAATTAGATTACATTGTTTATCTTCATTTACTAGATTAGCTCAATGCAATTCAACATGCTATTTTACTTTACAAAGCAGTACCTTCCGATCCCGGCAACGCCGGGAAATCTTTTCTAGTATATATATATATATATATATATATATATATATATATATATATATATATATATATATATATATATATATAAAGGTTTAGGTTCTATGGAAAACAAAAAACCTTAAAAAAAACCTTAAAATCATAAAAATGCATAAAAAAATACTTAGAGATCACAAACCTTTTTTTTTTAATTTTTTTATGAGAAAATCGATGCTTTTAATACAAAATCGCTGAATTTTTTTTTGAAAAAAAAACCTTTTTTTTATATAAAAAAAATTGATTTTTTTATTTTTTTTTTTTTCAGCGATTTTATTAAAAAAGTTGCGATCTTTTCATAAAAAAATTCAAAAAAAAGTTTTGTGATCTCTAAGTATTTTTTTATGCATTTTTATGATTTTTAGGGTTTTTTTGTTTTCCAAATAACCATTCCCTCTATATATATATATATAATAAAGAAACGATTTCCCTATTATAGTTCAATACATATCGATTGAAGGCAAACGGGCAACAAGCTGCGCCGCTAGCCCTTTCTGGATAGCAAAACCAATTCTTTTGAAAACTACATTTGTGGATCTAGGAGATATGACATTAAAATGCATGACCCGTTGGACTCTATTGAGGAGCTCCACCGCCTCTGGTGCGAGAATACCAAATGTATCGAATGCAAAAGGAACAAACACAAGTTGATTTGCTATACATGCATTCTCGTGCTTTACCACTTTGCACGCAGCGGCTTTCAAAGCGGCATGCCCAGCTGTGAAACCCCCGCTCCCCAACCCAACGAGAGGAGAGACCCCAGTAAGATCCACGCACGCATGCTTCCCTCCTATCCATCCAAAGACCAAAATGTCAGCCGGTCTAAGTGTGGACCTTCCATCGTGCGGGTCCGTCAAAAAGTTTGGCGCTTCTTTCTTCACAGAAATACCAGCACGCCGACAAGCATCAAAGAGAGCATCCCGAACCACATCATGTCTATACTTGAAACCAGGGAGCTCTCTACAATGAACCGCGTGTTCCCCAAAGGTATCCAAACATGCCTTGCGACAAACTGGACATATCTCGTCAATTGGGAATATGAGAATCATGAGGCGGTAACGAAGGAAACGACCAAGTCCGCGAAAAGACCGCTCCTCGTAAATTTATTTTTTTGGATGACGGAATTTAACCGAAAGGTATAAGCAAGATCATGAAGTTATTTATTTCCTTTAAAGATTCACGACAGACTATATGTACCCTCTATGCGAGGGGCAAAGCCATCAATTTTTTTTAGGGTGTTCCTCATAAGTTAAATTATCAAACATCCACAAGTAGAAGTGTTGGGGTATCATCTAAGTTTTCTCCATTATGCAAAAATTCTAACGCGGAGTCAAAACATCTATTTCTAACATGTACTTTTCACGAAAAATATTTGGAATCAAATTCAACAATGATGTAACTTTGATGTTACGGGATGTACATCGATTAAGACTATTTCAAATCAATCACTAAGTGGTAAATCACTGATTTAGCATGGTATAAAGTTCTCCCAATGCTGCAATATTAGGTGCCGATGGTTTTCGGTGAACTATGAAGGCTACTATGTTTTTTATAAAAAGGAAATAGATGGAAAACTATGTTGCTATAGCCTATCTCAGCCAAAAAAAATACTCTCGTGCTTTTAATTTGATGATTTAGTTCATAATGTTGCTAAATTACGCTTTCTAGTTTTAATTGCCAGCTCCTCGCCGGTTGTACTTTTTTTTCAAATAAATTCTCAAAAGTTCCAAAAAAAAAAGTTGTATTTGGCATATATTGTTGGATTAGTGTCTAAGTCCATAACTATTTTGGTATGTACTTGACCCGATTGTGAGCATGGTCCTTTTGGGTTGCCTTCACACGGGTGACTAGACAGGATGACAGTTGAGGAAAGAGGTTGATTAGGGCATAAATATTATATGAATAATATATTAATTTGGAATCATATTATTAATTAGTATTTAATCAGAAATTAATTAGGAATTAATTTTGGGATTAAATGAATTAATTAAAAGTACAGGGGCTGTTTTGTAATTATTTGATAGTTGAGACTTTGGGCTATTGGATCACCTTTATTAAGGCTTGAACGAAAATCCTAGAAGGATCTAGGAGTTTTCGTCCAAGGGCTTAAGGAAAGGAGTCCATGGACTTGCTTAGGCCCTAAGCTAAGGGATTAGGGTTTCCACCTTGAAACCCTAGCTAACCTCAAGTATAAATAGCACCCTAAGGTACTAGAATTCGACCACCCCTTGGGAAAACCTTACTAGGGCTGAATTTTGGAGCTTAGTACCTTTTCTCCTCTCTCTTATATTCATCCTCTCACTCAAAGTGTGTTTGTGAGCCATTAGAGGTACTACACTTGTGGTACTTGCTTTCAAGAGCTAAGGAAATTCAAGGAACTAGTTGTTATTACTACATAACAACAAAAGGTATGTATTCTATTCTCCTATGTCAATTTCGAAAATAGTAGATGCATGCTAGGGTTCTTTTGTGTTCATAAAGTTGTATAACTAATAGTGAAAACATAGATCCAACTCTAGGGTTGCATGCACACATAGGATTGTTTGTATAAAACCCAACATATATAATGTTTACTAGATGTACTTAAACACGGAGGGAGAAAGATAGATCATACCAACAAATTACATAGGTAGTTACTCTACACCTAACAACCACAAAAAGGTAAAACCTCTTACAAGTTAAGATAAAAAAAGAATCAAACATAAGACGAAGGGGACTGAGGATGCTTCTACAAGTTTGGAATGTTGATTTGGCATTGAATTTCCCGGTTCCGGAGAGCATTACTCCATCGTTGGAACGATCGATGAAGAAACAAAAGCACAAATCAAACATTCTGAATCTACCTTCTGATTTGGCGCCATTATTTTTCTTCTCTTACAGACGCAACGCACGCTTCTACTTTTGGGTTTCTGACTTCTTAATTCAACGGGTTTCAACTGTGAAAGAGGGTGGGCCTGGAACCTAGGCTAGTAAAAAATTGAAAATTAATTTTGAGGGTGGGCGTGGGCTTACCCAAGCCCTCATGTGGCTCCGCCCATGCACTATGTTATGTCAGCGGGTGATATTTGACTTTTTTATTCGAGGGATAAATATATTAGCATCTTTATTGACCTATTGTGTACGAATTAGCCCTCTTAAAAAATGAAAGTATCAACCTTGATGACCATACGAACCAATGTATTTCACAACAAATTTTCGAACTTCGTTGCTCAATTGAACCATTTTCAAAATGGTCACGTTCATTAATGGTTATTTTAAACGGAATGGAAACACAAGTAGTGGGCCTTAGTGGGAGTCCAGGGTAGCCCATGCTAACTTTGTACAGTGGAATTTTATTGAGAATTTTTTCGATATCGTATAATTTTTCTGTCGAGCTACCCTTACATTTTGTTATGGGTGTATCACTTATCACAATGATCAAACTTTTCATTGTCACCTTCATCATATTTACAATATGAAGTGTAAAGCTTGGATGCTAAACAACACAATTTAGTTCTTAGCACTTTTGTAACATCTTGATTTTGACCTAGAAGTTTTGGCCATTTTAGTGAAAATGTTTGTTTTAAATTAAATAAAATAAGTAATTAATAATAAAATATAATCATATTATTATTTTATAATTGTATTATGGTGGAATTAAGATATTATTTAAGACTATTTAGTCGGTGGTCAAAATTTGACCAATTAACTACGTATAACCAAACTTGTCATAAATTATGGTAAGGATCGATTTAACAATTGTGGAATATCTACAACTTGTGTGGAAAGGGAAGGGGGGGGGGGAGTTTGCAAAGTTAGGAACCTTGGTTGTCAAATTTGAAGGTATCAAACTTAAAGCTCATTTTCCCCTCTCATTCTTCACCATTCACACTATGAGGAGTCTAGGGATAGTTCTATATAGTGATTTCTAGGGAAAGCTTGATGGGTTTTGAGCACTACAACATTCCTATGGTGTACATGCAACCCTAATGCTTTGGATCTAGGTTTTTCACAAGTTATACATGCAA